AAAGGAAACAATCTGTGACTCAGTGTGCAGCTGGCCAACATTTTCCACTGACATTGTTTTTTGTGTGTTTGAAACGTATTGTTTCCACAGGATTACTCTGTAATAATGTCTACAATAAGTGTCTTCATTGCTTTGAATATTCTAGCAACTGTTTTGCACGTCGTAACCCTGGAGACCAGCAACTCAAAGTGGCTGTGCAGGGCTGGATCTGGCCTCTGTCTCATTTGTCTTTAGAGCACAAACTGCCTGTCCTGGCCTTTTGCTCTCCTTCAAAAAAAGGAGTTCCTCTTCAGAATAAGGCATTACCCATAGTTTATTTTGTTTGTTCTTTCGCAATATGTGAAACATTTAGAGTAACTGTGTTGGAAGGTCAAAACATTCTGACATTTTGACATGTCCTCAACCCACATATATTGTCATATATGTCATTTGATGTAAGACATGGCCTAAAGGTCATGGTCTAAATTCAGATCTAACCCCTGTTGTGACCTCCTCCTTTGGTCCTCATTTCTGATCTTGTTAGGTGTGAATGTACATAAATAACATGATCCCACTGACTCACTTAAAATGAGTAGTAAAGGAAAAATACAAAGGTCACAGAGATGTTGACCAATGTTGAAGCTTTTTTGTTCAAGATTCATACAGATGGCATAAGTAATCCCCACTTACTTAAACATGCCATGACCTTTGGTTGTAAATGTAAATGACTTTCTAATGACATAACAGCAGGCGGCTCACACCTGCAACATGCTGCCTTAAATGAACTTAACTCAATTAAGTGAATCAACCTTTTAGGTGATTTTTGCTTCTGTATCAGCAGCGAAACACCAAAGAGAGTCCTGTCTAAGTGGCTGTGTGAAACTTTCATGTCTACAGTAATAACCTCATACTGTGTTGTGTGCTTTACCTGGGAATTGAGTGGAAATCCTACTGGGCCCTAAGCAGGCAAATTCACAGAAAAGTGACTCTAGAGATTTATGTTCCCGCATAACACTGACACTGTAAATTAACATTTTATAGGAGAGGGTGTATTTTTGGCATTTTATACAGATGTTACTCTACCTTGGCTAAATCTCATCTCATCAAATAAATAAATCAGTCACGTACAAGTAGAACCATATACCAGAAATATAGCAAATGCAATACAGATGAATACATTGCTTTTTACTTTTCCTTTGTGGTCCAATGCTGTTTCTTTTTTCCCATTTTCATGACCCTGCACCAGCAAAAGCTGTGGCCGGAAGCATAATGTTTTCAGGTTGTTGGTCCGTCCGTCCCATTCTTGTGAACGCGATATCTCAGGAACGCCATGGGGGAATTTCATCATATCTGTAACTAACGTCCTCTTGTACTCAACGTTCAACTCCAGTGTGACATCATCATGTTCAGGAAAAACACTTTTTCTGGCAAATTGGTGACACTTTTGTCACTTTTGCGACCTCAAAATTTAAGAATGAATTGGACCCAGTGGGTTGACACAACAAGTAAACTGTAAGTAGCACTAGCACAGTACAGGTTTTCATCTTTCCAGATCATCCATTCTGCCTCATTCTGAAGTTTGAGTGTCACTGGAGTCACGTGACTGCAAACAACATATTGGATATTTATACATACATTTTCACTCTATAACAATCCATCTTTATATGTTAGTCAAGTACGTCTACCTATTTAACAATCTATGTAAATTCTTCATTAATCAATTCAAAAATCTATATTCACTGAAACATATGTATCATTAATATAGTGATAACTGTGTTATATAAACTGTATTATATGAGTGTTGACAGACATTAATGTAAACTGCAACTAGACTGGTTTGTGGAGGCATACAACCACAGGGAGTTATCTCTTTGTCTCTAGTCCACTTTGTACCTTCACTCCCTCTACTGCCCTCTGTAGTCCCTCCCTCCTACTGTACGTCCTCTCTTTTAAATATCACTCTACCTCTAGTTATTCATCACTTTATCTCCGTCTTTCTATCTAATTCACATTGCCCCTTGGTCCCCTCACCCTGTGCTGGGCTCTGTGCCCGGGCAGCTACTGTAGCTCGCTCTGTTGGCTGGAACTGCAGCAGTTCAGTCCAACCTCACACTGCCGCCCTGTTCTCTGCTATACACTGAATGCTGAAGTTACTAAGAGCAAAAGAAATGTTGAACTGAGACAGGCAGAGATTAGTAATCCTGGTTTAATCGTCATTACAGTGTAGTTTAGACATGGTTGCTGGGTTTCATAGATGTCAGATGATAGATCTATACTACTTCCTTAAGTGGCTCTTGTAAAAACCCTTTGAATTGAAATGATCATTTGCTACTCAGTCTGATCTCATTCTACCCTGTGTGCTTCGATTTTTTTATTGACCTGATTGTGACAAGGACTTAGAAATGTGCTCTAATGCTGTGTGTGTGTGTGTGTGTGTGTGTGTGTGTGTGTGTGTGTGTGTGTGTGTGTGTGTGTGTGTGTGTGTGTGTGTGTGTGTGTGTGTGTGTGTGTGTGTGTGTGTGTGTGTGTGTGTGTGTGAGATAGATGACTGCTATGTAGTAAGGACAACCATTGTGGAATGTGCCAAACTAAAATGTGTAGAGGAAGTCACCTTGCAGTGAGTCATTATAGTTATAGAAAGTTTGTAGCCGCATTGCAGGTCGTTTCACCTCAGTGGTCTTAAGTTGAATAGTGTGTGTGAGTTATTTACAAGCTTAAAGGTAGAGGAGGTGACAGAATAGATCGAGGAATGTCACAGAAATTCTTTAACAAAAGGTTGTGGCTAAGTCTTTCATCACATAAAGAAAAGACAACAATACCTGTATCTGAATTGAATTTTGTGTGTGTGCGTGTGTGTGTATGTATGTGTGTGTGTGTGACACAAAAATAGAGTTGATATGGTTTGCATTACATTTGCATGTTAAATCATCCACCCAGCCCAATGAATACAAAGCAATTAAACATGTTAAATAACCAAGATAAAGATTAATTCCAAAGATTTGGAATTATTAAGGAGTATTTTTAGGAGTGTATTTTTTAATTATGTGGTATTTGCGCTAAGCTAGGCTAATCATGTATTGGAGCTACAACTAGAAATCCCATCATCCAGCACAAATTATTTTCTTCCTCCCTACCACTGATGCTGTGTGATCAATAAATGTTTTAGCTGCAGCTGTTTCATGTAAACTAGAGTGAACAGTTCAACCTTTGTACTTTTATGTAGTTAAAGTTTATGTTGGTGGGCCACAGATGTGGGTTACTAGGTCACTGGGTCATGTAAAACTCTCAATAGCTGGTGAGGGTCCTGTGATTATGTTACGTGCTCGGAAACAGGCCTGACTCATAAAGTGTGTGTGTGTGTGTGTGTGTGTGTGTGTGTGTGTGTGTGTGTGTGTTAACTACAATTCAGTGTCGCAATTATCACACAAACAGTTTAAAGGTCCAGTCTGGAACATTCAAGAGTATCTATTGGCAGAAATGGAATATAATATGTGTATGTTTTTCGTTAGTGTGTAATCACCTGAAAATAAGAATGTTGCCTTAGACTGAGGCTTTCATATCTACAGCTGACTATTATATGTCACATGTTTATTCACAGTGCTAGTGGGTTATACAGATCTATTGTTGTTTTGGGCTGATGGCAGCAACTACAACACAGAAACTCATGTGAGTCCTCAACCAACATATAGAATGGTGGCTGTATCATTCTACAGATACACTACAGTTTTATTTTAATCATTTTAAACATTACATGTTGAACAGGAGCAACTAAATTCACTGTTCATTTGCCACTGTGATCACTCAGTGTTGATATTGTACAGATATGCAGAAACCTGGATGAATGTATGTTGCTAGGTTACCTAAAGGGAGAAAAGTGACACCAGAACGGGTGAAGCTTTACTGCATTGTGTTCAGACCAGTGCCTCCTTCATCTTGTGCTTTCAAAGTTGAGCTGATGTGCATCCTGTTTCTGCCCTGAGCAGAGAACATTTCTTGCACTCTGAAAATGCTTGGCGCTGAAAGTTCAGCTTTTAGCTAAAGCTCCACATCAAATGGGTTGTCAGTTGTCTCATAGCAACAGCAGCTACGGCAAGTGCTTCCCCCAAACAGATGTTGCTTTGCAAGATAGATAAAAGGTGCCTCTGGATCCAAGAGCAAAGCAAAGTTGTTTTTAGCTCTGTGTCATGTTTTTTTTTTTTGGAAAGCACTTTGTCACTATTAGCTCATTGTTTGAAGGGGAATCCGTTACAATGTAAGATGGCCTCTATTTAATACGTTTTTTTACGCCCTCATGATTCCCTAACGTCCCTTATTTCACAGAGAAGTGGGCTCCTGACCAACAGTGATCTTTGATGTTACATAAGACAGACTTCTGATAAACATTTCATTCATTTAGCCCCCATATAAGCCCAGATGACTGCTATAAATAAAACTTGAAGATAGATGTGTAAAACCGGTGCTTCCTCTTCAATGCTCAAAGACTGCTAATCTCCTTTATCACTTCAAGCTGGTGAGAAATGTGAGAAAAGAGCACTTAAACAGAAAACCGTTGTAAGTCTTGCTGTGTGTTGAGCAGGGTCCAGCTTCATAACAATCTCTATAAAATAAATGTCTTTAATTACATTTTGGCATCAAACTCATACGTGTGCCATCCGGAGTTGAGGCTTTGATCCCAACCAGACACACTTGTAAATTAAGTCACCAATAGCTTACACAGTCTAACCAGTAGGAACTGACTGCTGCAAAGCATCTGGTGTGGTGTTGGGTTGCAGTGAAACCCTGTAAACATACTTTATCTCTGGGTGGCTCATGTGTTGAGACACACAGAAGAACCAAATTAGTGTCACAGGAGCTTTCCATGTCTAACTAAAGGAAGCTGTTGGAGAAAAACAATCATTGTCTGCACTTTTTTCTTCACTTTGATCCTCCACCATGCCTCACAGATTAATACTGTGTCGAAAATATTTTTATTGTTCCAAAAAATTAGAAACCACTGACCCTGTTTGGCCATTTTGGTAGCTTTTAATAATTGCTTTACAGTTTCGACGAACTGAACCAATCCCAATCCAAGGGATAGAGATATTTTTTAATCTGATTTTGCGCATTTTGGGCTTTTCTGGCCCTGCCTGATGTCCCAGGCTGACACTGACCTCGTTGGTTACAACACGACTGACCTTGCATGGCATCATGACTGCGAGCCAGAGATGAGGATTAACTGTCTGCGTCAGTGGAAGAGAGACAGCAATTCCCTGAAGCCAATTGACAATTTGTTCAGATGTAATGAAATGGGTGGCAGACCACTCGTCCCTCAGTTCTGCCATAAAAACCTGCATGCAGTGACAGTGATTGCCTCATTTTTGCAAATTGAAAAAGCAAAAAGTATAATAGAATGATAATGACAATCTCAACCCCTCTGCTTTAGTTTATTTTCTAACTTTTTCATGGATAACAGCTTCTTTTTTTAAGCATCTGCCTTTCACAAGCGAGAAAATAAAATTTTAATTACCTCTAGGATAACAGAAGCATTCCCAGTGTTTGGGAATGTACTGTACATAATTAGGGAGAGAGCTGAGGTCTGGGATCACACAATGTCTCACATTCCTGATGATTTTAGAAGTAAAACCAATATAATTTAAGCAATCCTGCTGTGAAAGGCTTTTTAATTACAAACCTGCATGGGAACTGAACATGTGACAAAAAATAGCATGTGGTGCAGATGTATAATTTATCATTAATAGCAGTTTTAAACAGTATAAAGTCAGCAGCATGACGAAAAATTATACATGGAAAATCACCAAATAGCTTTATATATATTGTAAACAACCAGGCTAGCTGTTTGAACTTGTTTTCTGTCTTTGTGCTAAGCATAGCTAACCAGCTGCTGGCCGTAGCGTCCGGTTTTACAGTGCAGACACGATGTCACAAAATGTCCAACAATAGTGCAGTTGTCTCTGTGGGGCAGGAAATGGTTCTAACATCCATATTAACATTATAAATCTAGCCTCTGAAGCCCTGTGTGATGACCTGCAGTTGTTTTTAGGTTTATTGCTGGTGGATCATCACATGACAAGAGTTTTCAAGGATTCACAGCAAGAAAGAATAAATGTGTCACTTTTAACTGCAGATGTCACAGGTCACTGTGGTAGGGTTCAGCTGGACTTTAGGCAAACCTTTTGAATGGACTGAAGGCTAACCTTTGACCCACATTAGGCCAAAATGCAGCTATCATTGCAGTTTTCGCGTCACTGCTCTGCTCCCTCTCTCCTCTACTGTCGGAGCTTGTATCCCACCCGTCCTCCTCACTGCACAGTCTCTTAAGCTCTACATTCGCTCTCTCCTCTTTATCTTCCCCTCTATTCATCTTCCTTTCCACACATTCCTCCTTGTTATCTTGCTCTTTCCTCAGGCGGTCTTCCAGCTCTTCGTCTTCCATCTCTAACCTCTGCTCCTTCTCTGGATCCATGTTTATCTTCGTCTCTGCTGTCTTTTGTTTGCTCTTCACATCCGTCTCTGCCTCCAGTCGAGCTCTCAGCTCCTGCTCTCTGAGGCTCCATTCCTCCTCCAGCCTTTGGTACATGTGAAGGGAGAAGTGCCATCCTCCGTTCTCCTGCAAGATGTCCCCCACTTTACTCAGCAGCTCTCTCACCTGCTCCTGCTCTGCTTCCTTTCTCCCATTAGCCTCACCTCCTGTGCTTCCTGCCTCGTTGTCGTTTGTCTTCCGCAAAGTCCATTCCTTTTTCTTCTGATCTCCCTTCACCTCCTGCTTGCCAGTGACAGCTGCCTTGTTATCGAACACGTGGTACCGATAGCGACACTTCTCTAACAGCCAATGCAAGGCGGGGCCTCCTGATTGGATGTGCTCCTTCACACTGCGCCCTCCTTGACTCAGCCAGTCTCCACATGTGAACAACACCATAGTGTGTCTCCAGACGGTAGAGGTCAAGATCTCCATCCTCCTCTCCACCGCTCTCCTCTCAGGCTCAGTGAAGTCCAGCAGAGGAACCACTAATAGAATAACATGAGGCCCTCCAGGCCCACAGAGAGACAAAGCTCTCAGCAGTTCAGCTTTCTCCTCTCGTGGGACAAACTCCTCAGATGAACCCCAACCCTGTGAGTCCACCACGCTCACCTGACGTCCAGAGGTGATGGCGCTGGCAGCCGTGCTAGCCATGCCTCCTCTGGTTTCAAAAACCTGACCCCGGCCCAGCAGGGTGTTACCAGTAGAGCTCTTGCCTGTCCGTCTGGGACCAACGAGCAAAATATTAAGTTCTTGTGAGGCTGGAAAGAGAAGGAGAGCGGAAGCTTTTAATCTGCAGCTTGAACCTTGCTGGATTCCAAAGATTTGCGAACATGACATTTAGTGTTGTCTAGTATGCTCATTATAGACTGATCAGTTATTGAAAGGTAGTGAAAAAAAGGTTATGACATGACTGACTGGAAGAAGTGAATCTATTATCTCATCATCTCATTATGTTGCAGAGATTGACTGTAATTTTAGGTTTATCTTTTACTCCTCTTCCTTCCAGTATTTGCACAGGAAGTGGTTCACTGGAGGTTTATAAGCATTACTTTAGTAAGAAAAGACTCCTAACATATTCCTGTGTTTGACTGCAGGACTGTTATTTGATCTGGAGCTGAACTAAACAGCTGTCCCTACCCCTCATAGTCAGCATTGATCAAAATGCAAACTCTAAAGATATATCAGACTCCTGCTTAAAAATGTCTACGGCTCCAACATTTGACAAAACACACAACGTTAACATACCATCATTTCCTGGTAGGTTGCAGCTTCCCATTGTGACTTTCTCGTCTTTCTTGTGGATGATTCCTAGAGGCCACAGGTGTAGCATAGTGGCTTTACATCAGGGGTCCCTGAAACCAGATTCATGTGAACTCTTGTTTGAGTATTGTCTCTCTGGATATCTTCTTACTGTTACTGTATGGTTATGCATCTGAGATACTCCTCCTCCTCTTATCCACACATTGACTGAAGCGCCTCCCAGTTTTTATTGCCCTCTTGAGGGAAATAAAACTATAAAACTTTTATAATTCCAATCAAACAGATTTTTTCTCTTTCAGGACCTTCAACTGAATTTGATGTGTTGGTGTTTTTAGAGTGAGATTAAAGATTGTTGTCAACATCTGTCATTGTTTAACTAGTGTTACTGTAGTAACAGTAGCACAGTAGTGGTACTGTTTTGATGAGCAGAAGAGCTTTCCTACAACAGAGGAAGTTTTAGTTTAAGGATGTTGTATAGACGGTTTGTTGCAACAAACAGATCAGAGTTGCGTCAAAGAAGAGAACAGTTTCCAGTACATCCTGATACTGCAACAAATAATTAATAATAATAATTTTATGCTCAGTAAACAATATAATGCAGAGTGTCACTATTAGCAGTAAAATGTAGGCAATGCATTAATTGTTTGACTTAAAGGGGATTAACATTAATAACTACATGTTGCTGCCAGTGTATTTTATGCTATCACTGTATGTAAAAAAAAAATGCATTGGACTTGGGCACACATATGAGAGGTCATGAAATGTAATCACAATACAATAAGACAAATATTTTACTAAATATAGTCTGTTTTATTATATCAACACACCCATCATCTGACTCTGAATGTTCATGTGGCTCCTGCTGTTTACTCACTTCCTCATTATTGTTTTACAGCCATCAAAACAACATAACTTTCACATTTTACGTGTCTCAAGACTCGTCTACATGTTTGTGTCAATTAGCTGGTCTCCCTCCCTATCGCTCTCATCATCAGTGCTCTCATGTGTGTCTGCAGCTGTAATCTGAGTTTGTGTGCCTCACAGGTTATAGTTTACTCTGACTCTGAACCTGTGTTTTTGTACATGTGCTATGTGTCATCTTTTGTTGGTAGTGGTAAGTATAAGAACTTTATGGAATTTGAATGACTAAATTTCAACAATACCACTTTAAGAAAAGTCCACACTCAGATGCTTATATTCAAGAGTCTGGTACATTCGTATGTGATGAAATTCTGTTATTTACCTCTTTGTATCCACCTGCCTCATCAACTTACTTCAGTTAGTGATTTCCGACATTACTCAGAATGACTTTGGGCAACTTCCAGACAGCAGGTATAAACTTGTTGTGTTCAGCTGCAAGTTGTACTTTAGGTGGAAGTGGAGGTGAGCATTACTGATAATGACAGATAATGTTCAGTTGTATTCTACTCTTAAGTGAAGGTATTTTATCTCTTCCTGTAAATCAGCTGATTACTAATTTAAAATGGGGGATGTGGAGTATTCCACAAACATTACACCTTTCTGTCTCTTCCCTCCAGCCGCTCTCCTGTCTCTCTCTGATCAACACACACATTGACCTGACAGATGAAGCCAGTGAAGGATCAGCCAGGTTTTTTATCCCAGTCTGTCTTGGTCAGATCGGTTTTGAGAGCCCATGTGCGCACGTGTTTGAGTGTGTGCTCACGTGCGAGAGCTCACGCTTTTATATGTGTGAATGCACGTGTGTGTCTGTGTGTCTGTGTGGTTTTCCCACTTTCATTTGCACATAAAACTACTGAAGCTACAGCAGCAGGAGTAACTTTTCCCCAAGTCTCTCCTCCTTTTCACCTTTAACTTTTCTCTCCTCCCTCTGTGGGTTTTCCTCCGTTCTGTTTTGATCTTTACTCTCTGATCTTTTCTACCTTGTCTCTGTCTTAACTTCACATGCTTTGTCTATACCACTGTCTTTGTTCTTTTATCTGACACACACATACATTAAGTTCCCTAATTGTCCATATAATTAGGTGACCTTTTCTAATGAGGCTGCCCATCACATCTTGACACTTTGGTCTAATATACAAAATTTAGATATGATTATTTATTTCCACATATTTCCACATTCCTGAACAGTTTTGTTGTTTCTGAATCATTTTACCTGCTAGCTGATAGACTTGTCTTCCTTTTAAAGGTTATACTTCTATCTTCTGCACTACTGAGGAGAACATTAGATTTTTGTATAGCAATTCCTTGTATAAAAAGAGACTGTTTGGATGTACAGTACACACATTTCCTGTAATGTCTTACACAAACAAAGGGACAAATAAATAGAGATTATTCTCCTTTATCTTACCCTAACTACATTTTTATTCCAATTATTTACCATACATTATAATTGAAATGAATTTGAATGTAGGTTATACGAATTTGAGTGTTTAACAGATATTAAACCTGTATTAAATATGCATTATAAGGTAAAACATATAGTAAACCAGTTAAGTTGAAAATCGTAAAAACCAAAACAATGAACTGAAAGATACTAAAACGCTACGTAGAGCTGAGAAGAACAGTAGAATTCAGTAATAATTTCCGATGGTTTTATCACTACAACTACCACCTTTCATATTTCACATTTAATTTCATCCATTGTCAACATAAGAAATTAGTAAAAATTAATTTAGTGCAGCTTCAAGCAATTATATTTGCTTGTCCTTTTCACCTCATATTATGAAGGTTTGCAGGTTGATTGCTTACATTCGTTCTCTGTCAGACTGAACAAGCTATCTTTACTCATGAAAGTATTTTTTTTTAATTTTATTTTATTTAAGTGCACACTAAGACAATGTCACAATGGATCAACATCAGCAGATTCACTGCAGATTTCACAGGGGTTAAGGATGGTTCATCATGTTTAACAACCTGCATGTAAGCAGTAATATGAATTGATGGCGTGTTTAGTAAATTATACCAACAGATTTCCTCAAATATTGACATTTTTATGAATAATGTCCACCTCCCTGCAGTATGTAACTGTCAAGGATATCTGAGGGTCAGACAGGCCGGCTGTGCTCTCTTCTTTTTCTATTCATCCCCTCTTTCCTCTTTGTGTCTATCCTCCTCTCTCATCTCGTGACCTCTTACCATCTTTCACTGCTTCATCTCCTTTGCTCTTTTCTCTTCTTCCTCCCCCCGGTGCTCCTACTCCTCCTCCCCCACGCACTCCTACCTTCACATCTTTCCTCCTCCTGTTTCTCTTATCACTTTGCCTCTCATCCCAGAGGAGACGGTGAACAGTGGATTTACAGTAATGCAGGATGGTAAAGAGAGAACAGGGCTTTAAAAAGAAACGTTGGCATGGCTTGTATTACCACCAACTCCTCTAGCCAGTTCTGCCCACAGTGCCCATCTTTCTGTGTGACACTAATGTGGCCGGTAAGATGTGACTCATACCACAGGATCTGCACAAACAATTTAAGCGCCAAAGTTAGCTTTAGCCAAATATCTCAAGATGGAGTTTGCTCAGGGAGGACTTCGGAAAACAGGATTTTCACACCCTCCTCTCTAAATTTTGTGTGGGACGGACTTAGTACAACTATGTTTGTAGCCATTAGTCCTCCCACCCTGTGGCTGCATCCTTTTTTAGTACAAAAGGGTTTTCTCACAAATCCTCTGGATTGTAGCAACATTAACTGCATTAGTTCTGCACAACATGCTGCTTCAACGTGTCTTTAAGTGTGATTGTGCAAAAAAAAAAAAAAAAAATTGGCGGTGTTACACAATGTGCTGGGGAAGAGGATACAGGACACCACCGGAGGTACATTAGCTACAGATAAGGCCAACTTCCCTCAGTGGCTTTGAAGGACGTTGGTGTTTCAGCGTCTCGTGTGTTTGAAAAGGAGGACACTGTGCTCTAAGAGTAAAGCTATACCTTCAGCCAATCCTTTTCTTTGTTGTGTTGAGATTGTGTTAAGTGACTTTCCAATGTGGTTATTTGTTCAATTTCTCTTTGTTATGAAATGAGGAACCCACCTTCTGAATTTGGCTGTACCCAGGTTTCATATTTATAACATTGCATTGTGTTGTTCTACATACAGTATGAGAGTCACAACAGCATAGCATTTCTGATCTACCAATTACTTCGTTTTAACAGGTAAAAATTGTCTAGCCTTTGCAAATGTCCTCCCCGGAGCTCCTCACATTTCTACTTGGTGTTATTAGTGAGCAAGCAACCTCTGCAGAAGCTAAAAGTCGTAATTCTTAAGTCAATGTGACAATTAAAGCTTTATTCTTACCAGAGAATTGTTGAAGTGGCTACCTAATTAGCTATCTTATCTGCCTCTCTTGCAAAAGGTTTTTTATTTATGTCAAGTGCAGGCCACCTTGAACTGTCAGGGACAAGTTTCCAACTGAGATTAAATTGTTAGTTTAATCTAACAATTAGTTCATCTGCTGCTTTTACTGCCTTGAAGCAGATATAAAATTGGCTCACTATTAGAAGGCATTAACATCTGCTTTGGAGGATGGAAACTTTCAGCTGTAGAATATTCTGTTTACATTGGTTTTTCGTCTTGTTCCTTTGCTCTCGTAAACTAGCGGACAGATAGTAGCTCACATGTTACAGTAGCTAAAATCCTGGTAGCCTGTATTGTGTGTGTATATACAGCTCAGAGCAACTCTGATGGTTAGACACAGGCAAAACACTCTTATTTTATCTTATTTTAACATCTGCCACACAGCTGCAAACATTAGTTTTTATTAGCCTGCCATGGTGTGAGTTGTAGGAACAAGACTTTGTGAGACAGAAAAATCATACCAAATCCATGTGACTATGGCTGGATATCATTTCAATTTTTCTGATACTTTTTTTGCTACTTTCCAGTTGGGCTGCACAATTAATCGCAATATGAGTTTCAACCTTATATATATTGTCAGTGGTTTTAACAAGGTTTTAAACAGGTGTTCTAGCAAACGCTTCCTTTTATTAAACCAAGGCTTAACTTCTCATATTTCTAGATGCTTGATGAAATTAAATAGTGTGATTTAAATCAGAACATGTCTGAACATTTTAAAAGTACGCATTTGAGTGTTTGATGCCAGCTTTTGGTACTTGACAGTTTTACATATTTGGTGCCACAGACACATTTGTGTTGGTAACAAAACGTAGTAAGGTTTTTTTCCCAGCTTCTAGGGCTGATTTGCCCTTGACAGAGCTCAAAGCGCCTGTACGTGTTGTTTACTTCACATCATTAGAGTCTATTCTGATCTGTCTTGATTTGGAGATGTGTGTGTTTGTCAGTTTGATTTCCTGTATTCGTGACCTTGCATGTGTGTGTTCTCTTTGCATCTGTTTTTCG